AGTAGTAGGAGTCGTCGTTGTAGTAGTAGTAGTAGTAGTAGTAGTAGTAGTCGTAGTAGTAGTAGTAGCAGCAGCAGTAGCAGTGGCAGCAGTAGCAGTAGCAGTAGGCGTTGTTGTTGTTGTAGGACTAAGAGTAGGAGTAGGAGTAGTAGTAGGGTTACGAGGAGGAGTCGGAAGAGTCGTCGTCGTCGTCACCACCGTCGGAGTAGCGCCGAGAGCAACAAGTATACTGATATCAAGATTAGCAAAATGCCAGTCCAACAATGCAGTATGCGCTGCAGGCAAGTTACATGTCTTCCCTTTGTGAGTCGAAGTCCGAGCTCCACTCGGAGGGAGACCACGGATCGGAGACTTCGAAGTTGACTTGGCCGTAAGAGCCACCGCCGGTGCTTCCAGCAGGTTCTTGGCCGTATGAGCCACCGCCGGTGCTTCCAGCATGTTTATGTGACTTCCTGGGTTGAAGTTTCAGGGCTTCCATGTACCTCTACGACTCTACCAGTTCAGACAGGAAATCAGATTTAAAGAAGTATCCCAAATTGCCAGCTAGCTTCAAGCTGTTCTCATGACGGACGGGCCGGGGCGTCCTTGTGGCAATTCGGTGGCTGGGAGTGTGACGCAGGGCGCTCTTGTGCTCTGAGCTGGCTGTAGAGGTGCTGGGCACGGTTGTCGGCTCCGACGTTTGGGGCAACGTGGAGCTTGTGGTAGCCTCGGTGGATGTTGTGCTGCCCTCTCGGTGGTGGAAGGACGGGCCCGGATCATGGGGTGCTTGGTGCCCATATTCCTCGCCATCGTCACCTTTGTCGCCATCTCCATCCCAGTACTGACCTTCCAGGCACAGGGTGCACAGTGCGCACAGCCGAAGCCACAACTTCTGCTTGCACTTGAAGCTTCACATCATGATTCGGTAGTGTGATCAAACAGGTAGCGTAACATTGCATCGAATACTGCCACAACCACGCACGGCCATCACTGCCACTACCCTATCACGACCACCACGGCTACTGCGACCACCACTGCTACCACTACCACCGTCACCACCGCCCCCACTCCGCGACCACCACTACCACTGCTGCTCCACAACTACGACCACCATTATCACTGATGCAGCTCAAGTTCGGCGGTGAGATCGCAGAGTCCTTTAGTGTTACCCGTCCACGGCTTCACCAACACGGTCCACAGTGCTCGCGACCGCTGAAGAGCCTGGCCTGAGTCGGCGTCACCATCACCTGCCTCGCCTTCCCGATCGTAACGGCCACCCTCACTGCCACCGCCACCGCCACCGCCACCACCCATGCAGAGCATCTCGAAGTCATGGCAACAGTTCCCGGCTTCGCGGCAGCTGGGAATGCACTGGCCTCAGACTCCGCTAGACGAGTTGCACACGACAGAGCGAGAGGGGGAGACAAGGGGAGAGAGAGAGAGAGAGGGAGAGAGAGACTCTGCTCGCTGAATTGGCAGCATGTGTGCGTGCGTGTGTATGTGTGTGTGTGTGTGTATCTATACATATAAATGTATGTGTTCTTGCTGAGAATGCAAACAAGGTGCAATGGAACTTCAACAACTGTATTGCATCAAAATCTGCTTATCAATATCTCTAGATAGAGAACGAGTATGCCCCTATATGTGTACATACATACATACATACATACATACATACATACATACATACATACATACATATATATATATATGTATATATGTATACTTATAACAAACAAGTGTATATATATATGTGCATGTATATACAGCCACAACACAAAATACTACGTAAATATATGCAAACATGAAAGTTGTGTAGGAAATTCCGTATCTACCTACCTACCGACCTGCGTTGTTTCTTTCCCACCTGTCTTGTACATACGACACGACATGGCATGATATGATATGGTATGATATACTATGCTATGATGTAGTGTGATATGATGGAATATGATGGGATGGATGGCTATGATGCGATATGATGTGATATGACGTGATATGAAGTGAGATGGAGTGAGGCCATGTGATATGATGACATGGTGTGATGTGACATGGTATGATTTGGTGCGATGTACAGAAATCATATGATGTGATCTGACCTGACCTGATCTGACATGAACGATATGATATAGTATGCTAATAGCTATGATATCCTATGACACGATATGCTAAGACATGTTCTTGTTTGGCATGATATGCTATGATATGGTACGGCATGATATGCTATGGCTATGATATGACGTGACAGGTGTGATGTCTTAGACAAGCTCTGTTCCTGACGACCCTGCACCCCCAACGTTGCCACCTGGGCTCCCTTCAGCACAAGCCTTCATGAAAACAAGGCAGGCGGCAAAGGTTCGCACAGTTGGCCATTGTACAGCCCGCGGCATCACTGCCACAACCCATTGACTGGCAGGAACCACGGGGCTCCTAAGACTTCGATATGGCAACTACACGGTGCTGTCTGGAAGCGTGGAGAATGCATAACCAAGTTGCCGGAGGTTCGTACTGCCCAGCCGATGTGCAAACTTCCTGGTAGTCGGGGCAGCAATCGTCAAAATAAGTGCACCCATCGTTACCTCGGAAATGGCAAGTACAAGAGCTGCCATGGACAAGCACGCAACATCTTTTGAAGCCAAGTTGCACTGGCAGCTACCGACGTAGTTGTCACTTTCGCAGCCCATGCTGCGACAAGATCCCTCCCCGGACCACAGGCTCAAGCGGAATCTCCCAGCATGCGCGCGGTGGCGCGGCTGGCTGATGGAAGGAATCGATCCAGCCAAGAGGACCGCCAGGAGTGCGAGGCTCAATCCACACAGGATGACTCCAAGCCCCAAGCGGCGTCTTGGCGTCAGCATCATAAACTCAACCAAGCAAGGCCTCAAACAGAAAGCAGGATCAGCCATCCGAGATGTGTGATGCAAACTCCTTAAGAAATACCACTGCAGTGTCCTTAAACCCTAAACGCTACAAGCCCTCCAAGCCCAAAAGCCCCCATACTCCAAGCCCTCAGAACACTAAACCCTAAACCCTGCAGACCCTCAGCCATACCCCCGGCTGCATGGATCCCCAAAGCCCCCATACTCCAAGCCCTAAGAACTAAACCCTAAACCCTAAACCCTAAACCCTAAACATTACTAAACCCTAAACTCTGCAGACCCGCTCCCCGCCTCATCTTCGGCCGCTGCAGAAAGGCAGTCGACTCCGCCGGCTCAGCCGGCTCTGTGTCTTGCGGCGACGCGTCGAAGCTCTCCTCGTCCTCCTGGGAACCCAAAGCAAAGGCATAGATCTATATATATAATTATATACATATATATATATATATATAATTATATATAATTATATATAATTATATATAATTATGTATAATTATATATAATTATATATATAATTATATATAGTTATACATAATTATATATAA